GGAGGCTGTGGAGTCTCCTTCTCTGTAGATATCCCAGCCCCGCCTGGACGCGGTGCTGTGCAGCCTGCTCTGGGTGACCCTGCTTGGGCAGGGGGTTGGGCTGGGTGACCCACAGAGGTCCCTTCCAGCCCCGACTGTGCTGTGATTCTGTGATTCTGTATCTGCAGATGAATATATTGCTGTGCTTTTCTACTTCTGCTGGCTGGACCAGGCAGTTTCCCATCCTCACAACCCATAATCGATATGTTTGCCTCCCGCTGCCCTCGAAGCTTTCCTTTTTTAACGGCCCTGTTTTTGATCTGTGTGCTGGACTGGCACAGTTCACTGCCTGGCACACTGGACCAGGCTTTGGTGACGGCTCTTGGTTACACCGCATTGCCAGGGCTGTTTCACCAGGGAGTGAACGTGACCTGCTGGGCCCCAGGCAGCCTCCTTGCCTCCTGCCCACAGAAAAGCTGAATTTCTCCATCCGTAACCCAGCGTGTTTTATTCGCGTGCTGCCGCTGCCCTGCGCTCACCGATCTTGTGCAGGTGCAGGTGTCTCTGCACCTCTCCCGGCGTCGGGCTGGCTCCCAGGCACCGCATCACTGCCATCAGGTCGGAGGCTTTTATCTTGCCTTTTTGTTTCTTGTCGTAGAGGGAAAAACATTCCTTGAACTCTAATTAAAAACCGAAACGCTCTGTTATGCCATGCCAGGTTACATTGATCTGCCCGTGACGTTTCTCCTCCCGGTGCCCGGCTGGGTGGCATTGGTAGGGTTCCAGCACGGATATTGTGTCTGGCGTGGGGTGTCTCCTTTCCAGGGAGATGATGGACAGCGAGGCAGGACCCCGGGTAAAGTGCCACGGGCAATTAAAGCCCAGGCTTGGGACTAGCTAAGCTAATTGGGGTCCTTCAGCCTAATGAAGCAAGTCTGAAAGTGGAGCCAGGCTCCCCAATCCCAAATCCCAGCACGGTGGGGGTTGGCAGGGCCCTCTGTGGGTCACCCAGCCCAACCCCCTGCCCAAGCAGGGTCACCCAGAGCAGGCTGCACAGCACCGCGTCCAGGTGGGGCTTG